TATTCTTTTGACAGGGCAGATCTGCTGCTTTGATGGCTTCTAGAGCTGGGACGTGTTTACCATCTGCAAATGTCACCAAAAAAATTATGTTCTCTGCAATGTCTTTTCCAAAAATTGACAAGACTGAATCAAATATATACTTCTGGTTGGCACTCAGGCGGACAAGAGAAGCCTGGACAACTAGGCAAACTGCATCAATGTGATCAATTCCCAACGGGCTACAAAGAAAGCTTTTGACCTGCTTTGTGATCAGTTTATCATGTGTGATTCCTTTTGTATCCCCAAATCCAGGTGTATCTACGATTGTGAGAGAGTAGGGGATTTGAAAGCCAGGCTGACTGTACAGCTCATAAGATGAAACATTAGATGTCTGACTCTCAGCCTGTGTGCGATTTGTCACTTCATTGATTAGTTTGAAGCGATAGGGATCCTGCCACTTTACACCTAGTATGTAGTTGACCATCACATTGATGAGTGTGGTTTTTCCTGCACCTGTTGATCCCAGCAGAAGAATTACTTTGTTTTTCACATCCTCCACTTTTCTTCCAAAGACATACTGATTAAAATTATTCTCTTTCATTTTTTGGTATAGATTCAGTCTATAAATGGAAGGATTCCCCTTGTTTATACATGAAGATTGATTTTTGAACAGCCCACTTCCAACCACTTCTGAATGTTTACTCTTCAAACATGCAGAAAGCACTGTTTCTGAGCTGGGGAGACTCATTTCATCATTAACACAAATTGCCGAAACTCTGACTGTGTAATCTGTCTCTCTTTTCAGTTCATGAAGAATGCACTCCCTGTTTGTAGATTTCACAGACTTCCACGGCTTTTCATTTTCATGTTCCTTTGTGCATTCTCTGGATTCCAACACGTATCCAGTGATCAGAACTCCCTCACCCACAGATGCAGGAACATCCCAGACTAAAGTTGCTGAGTCAGATGCTACTTGTTTTACGGTAGGTACTCCAGGAGGAGCACATGGATGAGTCCTGGAGAATGATGTTGTGTCACTTGTCAGACTTACTCCTG